GGTCCAAGAACATGAAGGACCTGACATGCCGCTGGACACCGGGGGCCCATGGGGAGACCTTCCTCCACACGAACTACTCCCTGAAGTACAAGCTGAGGTTGGTACTGGCCCCTGGTGACATGTAACGCAGCCTGGCTGCCCTCTGAGCTCAGTGTTCTGCCCTAGTGAGGCCTGAGGCCCCTAAGGGACCCTCATGTGTCCTCACCCCCCGTCCCCACAGGTGGTACGGGCAGGACAACACATGTGAGGAGTACCACACGGTGGGACCCCACTCCTGCCACATCCCCAAGGACCTGGCCCTCTTTACCCCCTACGAGATCTGGGTGGAAGCCACCAACAGGCTGGGCTCGGCCCGCTCAGATGTGCTCACACTGGACATCCTGGATGTGGGTGAGGCACCTCCCGATCCCCCCCCCCCCCCCCCCCCCACGCAAGCCCAGTCATGGCTGCATCTCTGGTCCAATCCTGCTGGTTGGGACAGGGAGTACCCCTCAGTCTCTAGCCCCCTGAATCAGCCAGCATAGTTCCACTCTGCTGAGAACACCTGGCCTGGCCCCCCTCCTCCCCTAAGCCCAGGTGTGCCAGAGGGCCCTCACTCCCCAGCTGGGAGGGGCTGTCCAGGTCTGAGGCACCCCAGGAAGCCACAGTCTGGAGCTGGGGTGGAGGGGGGGCAGGCAGGAGGCAGGAAATGGATGATCTGCAGCAGAATTGGGCTTAATCTAATTAGGGTGTTTCTCAGCCCTGAGCAGGCCTGTGTCTTAACCCATTCGGCCCCTCACCAAGGCCTCAGGGAGAGAGCCAGCTCTCCCTGCTTCCCACAGGGCTCCCAGAAGGATCCCAGATCCACCCTGGCTCGGAGCCACCCCCACCCCAGCCTTCCCTCTTCGCTTCCTTCAGTCTTGAAGCTGCGGTGGGCATGTTCTCAGCTTCACTTGTCCCTCTGCACCCAGCATACTGAGGACTTTGTAAGGTGGGAAGGTGCTGGAGGTGTGTGGTGATGGTCCCCTGGCCTCCTGGGAATAATAATAATAATATCATCGGCCAGGCAGTATCTGCTTTTACAGAATTCCCTGAAGATAGGATTATGTTTCTCCTGTCACAGATAATAATGGCGATAACAGCTAACATTAATTGAGTGCTTCTAGGCGCTGAGTGTTTCCTGAATATTGTCTAATGTAATCCCCCAGCCTCGAGGGGGTGGGAGGGGGAGGACAGCGGAAGCAGGTGCCACCTAAGCCACATGCTCTGGGATTTGAACCCAGACAGGGGCCAGGCAGGTCCCAGGGGCCCGTGACTAAGCCCTGTTCCACCCCACCTGCCAGTGACCACCGATCCCCCGCCCGATGTGCACGTGAGCCGAGTTGGGGGCCTGGAGGACCAGCTGAGCGTGCGCTGGGTTTCCCCGCCCGCCCTCAAGGACTTCCTCTTCCAAGCCAAGTACCAGATCCGCTACCGCGTGGAGGATAGTGTGGATTGGAAGGTGTCCATCCCGGCCCCACCCCGCCCCGACCCCGCTCCCGCCCTGGCCCCCTGCCCTGGCCTCTGACCCTGCCCTTGCCGACCAGGTGGTGGACGACGTGAGCAATCAGACCTCTTGCCGCCTGGCGGGCCTGAAGCCAGGCACCGTCTACTTCGTGCAAGTGCGTTGCAACCCCTTTGGCATCTACGGCTCCAAGAAGGCAGGGATCTGGAGTGAGTGGAGCCACCCTACGGCGGCCTCCACCCCCCGCAGTGGTGAGCACCCCAACATGGTTGGGTGGTTATGGGACCAGCGCTGAACCAGCCTGGGCTTGGGCTTCTGTTTTCTTGTTTTGTTTTTCCAGGAAAGTAGAGGTCTCAAACTGGTGACCCCAGAGCTGAATTTGGCCCCGGATCTATTTTCTTTCACCTGTTACTTGAAAAACAAAAAAACACACACGCACACACAAATACCCCCAAATTTTTGGATCTACTTGCAGACATTTAAAAACAGGATGTTTTAACAAAAATATCCTATATTCCCTAGAAAAATTGTCTAGAAAATGTAACAGCCAGCATTGCTCCACAGCCCCTATTAGCAAAGGCTTGCCCCTTCATGCCAGGTCCTGTCTTTCAAGTTGCCTCATCGCCAGCTGGCCCATTTCACCAACCTGTGCCCCCTCCCCAGCTCCTAAGGGCAAGTAAGTGAGTTTGAGACCCTTGCTTTCCAAGGCTGATGGGCTGCCAACTCTCCCTCTGAAGGGCCTCAGCTTCCCCTTCTGACTCAGGTAGGGGGCTGGGAATGATCAGGGGCCTGGGTCTGGCTCCCCCTGCCATCCGGGGTTCCTCTGAGCCCATGGACCCCCTTTCTCTCCTTTGTGAAATGATATGAAATCTGTTACTTGAAATGTCTGGCTTCAGCTTACCCATCTGGAAAGTGGGGATGGTAATGACTCCTATCTCAGACTATTGTACAGACCACTGAGATATGATAACCCATGAAAAGTGCCCTCACAGTGAGCACTACCAAAGGCCCCCTCCCCCTGCTCCCCACATGCTTTCACCCCAAGGTAGGCCTCCTTTTCTCAGATGAGGACACTCTGGCCTCAGTGGGTTTAGCCAGCCCCCAAGGTCATATAGGGATCTGAACTCATTTTGCTGGAAAAACAGGCCCATACTCACTCCTGGGATGATGGGGAAACCAAGGCCCAGAGAGGGTCTCAGAACCAGGGAGGGGCAGAGCCTAGCTCCAGCCAGCTCCCCAGCCCCCACTGTGGGGCCCTCCAGGTTCTGGGATGGGCGGGAGCTAGCATGACTGGGAGGGGCTGAGCCTTGGCCCCTGCTCGTGCCCAGCACCTGCGATTCTTGCACGGGAGCCAGCAGGCGGCTGCGTCTGCAGAGGAGGCTGGGGAGGCTGGGGGAGGCCAGCAGGGGCCTGGGCTGTGCCAGGGCCTGTCAGCGGGTCCCCTGTGTTATTTATGACGTGAGGCCGATGTCCTTATCCGCCGGCCTGTTCAGGGCTGGCTGAGTCCAGCAGCTGGACCTTCAGGCGGGCCTCCCACCTGGCCCTCCCACCCGCTCCCGGTCCCATTGGCTCATGCTCCCAGGGGCTGTCTCCTTAGGCTTCTCTGTCACTCTCTTCCCCTGTCTTTCTTGGTTTTTTTTGTGTGTGTGTCCCTGTTCCCCCCCTTTCTCCACCCCTCCTTCTCCCTCTGAATCTCCTTGGCTGACCCCCATGGCTTTGGTCTTCCCTGCATCTCCTGTCTCTCCTGGTCCCCATCTCTCCGTCTCTGCCTCTGCATCTCTCTCCCTTTCTCTTCCCCCTGCTCTGTCTCATCCCTCCGGCCTTGGCCCCTCACCTTCTCCCCCAGCCCCTTCCACTCGCACCTGGCTCAGGCCACAGGAGTCGGGTTCCTGGAGGAGATGTGGAGGAGGAGCCCCTTCCTTCCCCTACCCCCCACCTCCTCAGGGGCGCAGCTGGGCTGGGCGGTGGGGAGGACGCGGTCTCGGGGAAATGGGGGGAGGTGCCCGAGGGGAACGCGGTCCACCGCGCAGGGACCCTCCCTCCCC